TTGATCTTCGGCTTGGAGATGTCATGCGGGTCCTCGTACTGGTGCACCTGGTCCCGGACCGTCTGAACGAAGTCCGCGTGGCCGGCGATGTGTGACGTCACGATGGTGAAGGCGTGCCACTGGTACCTCACCAGGATAGACAACATGGCGGCCGCTTGGTGATGGATTGAGGGCGCCATCTGGATCCTCAGCCCGCTCATCGAGGCCTGGGGGGGGAGACAAGGGGGGGTTATTCCTTTTTTTTTAATTATCATTCTTTTGTTTTGAGATTTTTAAATTTTTTTTTTGTTTTTTTTTTTTATTTTGTTTTGTTTTTTTATTTAAAATTTTGATTTTTTTTTTATTCTTTTGTCTTTTTTTATTCTTTAGTTTTCGTTTTTTTTGTTTTTATTCTTTAGTTTTTGTTTTTTGTTTTAATTCTTTTTTTGTTGTTGTTGTTGTTTATGATTAGCAGAGAGTGTTTGTTGAAAATGCTAATAGGGAAGCTCTGTAACTGCTACAGTAACTTTTTTCGAATATATATATAGATAGATAGATAGATAGATAGATAGATAGATACACACACGTGTTTATGTATATATGCTTGATATCCTCTGAACGAAAATCAAATGAAATCCACAATCATTGCACGTATATATATATATATATATATATTATATATATATATATATATATATATATATATATACATACACACACGTGTTTATGTATATATGCTTGATATCCTCTGAACGAAAATCAAATGAAATCCACAATCATTCCATAAAAGTTCGTAGTAAAGTGGAAAAAATAATAGGAAATTTACTGGGGAATATAACATTTCTATGATATTCTCTTTGTATCAAACTCGATAGAAACCTGATAGCATACTGATAAAAATGCTTGATAAAATGTTCACAGTGGAAAGCAGCGAACCGAATGAAAAATATTTTTGTTCAAATGACAAGTGCGTTGGGTATTTCATTTAATTCAATTTGGTGATCGTTTATGCTATTTCTGTCCTTTGCGTTTACTCCATCTGTCCATATGTATATGTCAACAAAATTACAAAAACCTTTCAAAAGAAAAAAAAAAAAAAGTCAGAATGAGACGTGGAAAGCCAAACACGTCACGAGTTACAAAAGGTTATGCTATATTTCGTTTGTGTGTGGATAGGTAGATGGATAGATAGGTAGATAGGTTGATGGAAAAGCTGGTAAATAGATATATAGGTAGATAGGTAGATAGGTTGATAGAAAGACAGGTAGATAGATAGATAGGTAGACAGATAGATAGACAAATAGATAGATAGATAGATGAATATATAGTTAGATAGGTAGATAAAAAGATAGACATGTAGATATGTAGATATATAGGTAAATAGTTACAGACAGATAAATAGATAGATAGGTGGATAGATAATTAGATAGTTATATAGGTTGGCAAACAGAAAGATAGGTAGACAGTTGCAGATATATATACATAGACAAATTAATACACACACACACACAAACACACGCACACACACACACACACACATATATATATATATATATATATATATATATATATATATATATATATATATATATACATATATATAAACAGATACATAGATAGATGGATGAATAGGTAAACAGATACATAGATGGATATACAGATAGAAAAATGATATAGAGATAGATAAATAAAAACAAATAAAGATAAATAGATAAAAATAGATAAAGATAGACAAAATAGATAAATAGATAGATAGATAGATAAAAATAGATAAACATAGATAGATAAAAATAGATAAAGATAGATACAGATAAAGAAACAGAGATACACAGATAAAGAAACAGATACACAGATATACACAAAAGTACACGTTATTTTTATCTTTTTCCCTACATAACTCTGACTACACGAGTTACAAGCCCTTAGCCGACACACATTTGGAGAGCAATAAAGACCATCACGAGGGCAGTATATCGGAGGTACCCTTAGAGTCCATACTTCTGGTTCGCCTTTTAGGTAGGTGATCCAACGCATCTGGAGGGGGAAGGGAACGAGGTGAAGGAGGAGGAGGAGGAGGGGAGGGAGAGGGGAAGGGGGGGAGAGGGAGAGGGGAAAAAGAGGGAGGTGGAGGAGGAGGGGAGGGGAGGGGGGGAGGGGAAGGGAAGAGGTGAAGGAGGAGGGGAGGGGAGGGCGAGGAGGAGAAGGAGGGAGGGAGAGGGGACGAGGTGAAGGAGGAGGAAGGAGGGGAGAGGGGAGGGAGGGAGGAGGAGGGGGAGGGAGGGGAGGGGAGGAGGGGGGAGGAGGGGGGGAGGAGGAGGGGAGGGAGAGGAGGGAGAGAGGAAGGAGGAGGAGGAGGGGAGGGGAGGGGAGGAGGAGGGAGGGGAGGGAGAGGGAGGAGGGGAGAAGGAGAAGGAGGGAGAGGGAGGTGAGGAGGAGGAGGAGGGAGGAGGGGAGGGAAGGGGACGAGGTGAAGGAGGAGGAGAGGGAGGGGAAGGGAAGAAGAGGGAGAAGGAGGAGGAGGAGGAGGACGGGAGGGGAAGTGGAGAAGAGATAGGGAGAAGGAGGAGGAGGAGGAGGGGAGGGAAGTGGAAGAAGAGAGGGAGAGGGAGGAGGAGGAGGAGGAGGGGAGGGGAGGGGAAGTGGAAGAAGAGATAGGGAGAAGGAGGAGGAGGGGAGGGAAAGGCGAAGAAGAGGGAGGGAGAAAGATGGGAGAGGAGGAAGAGGGAAGGTAGAGGGGAAAGGACGAGTGAAGGAGGAGGGAGGGAGAATAAGGGAGAAGGGGGAAAGTTGGGAGAAGGAGAAGGAAAAAGAGGGAGGGAAAGGGAAAGAAGAGGGAGGGAGGATGAGGGAGAGAGAAAGATGGGAGAAGGAGAAAGAGGAGGAGGAGGAGGAGAGGAATGGGAAGAAGAGGGAGAGAATGAGAAGAATATAAAGGACAAGGTAAAGAAGGGGACAGAAGGGAAAAAAGGGGAAAAATAAAGAGGGAAGGATGAAGAAGAGGCAGGGAGCGAAGAAGGGAGAAGGGAAGAGGAAGAAATGAAGATGAGAAAAAGAAGACAGAGGGGACGAGCTTAAGGAGAAAGGGGAAAGAAGGAATCAAAGAGGGAGTGCAGAAGAAGATAATAAGAAAGACGAGATAAAAAAAAAAAATAAAAATTCAAAAAGGGGTGCGAAAGCGAAGAGGGAAGGAAAGAGAAAAAAATAAAGAGGAGACGCATAAATAAAGAGAAAAAGAAAGAATGAGAAGAGAAAGAAAAAGAAAAGAAAGAAAAACGCGAGAAATGATTTAATGAAAGAAGAAGAAAGTTTAACTCCTTTCTCTCAGTGACTCATTAGGTACAGGTTCGCTAATTAAGATGATTAACGTTCGTATCTTGATATATTCAGTAAACTCTCGCAGCTGAGTTATGTCTCCAGCGAGGATGGAAATGAGGAGTTCGAATTTTTATTTTGATTCCATAATTATCAATAAACTTTGCTATTACCATTTTCTTGTGATTATTGTTAAAATGGTGATTATTGATAAAATCAGATACTGATGATAATGATAATAGTGATAATGATAACTGTGATATGGATAATGACAAGAAGAAGGATGATGATGATGACGATGATGGGTGATTTTGATGGTAATGATGATGATGATGATGATGATGGTGGTAATGATGATGATGGTAAATGGTAATGATGATGATGATGGTAATGGTAATGGTAATGGTGATGATGATGATGATGATGATGGTAATGATAATGATGATGGTAATGATAATGATGATGATGATGATGATAATGGTAATGGTAATGATGATGTTGATGGTGATGGTGATGATGAGGATGATGGTATCAATTTATGATGATAGTAATAACATAATAATAATAATGATAATGATAATGTTAATAACAACAATAATAATAATAACAACGATAATAATATCAATAACAAACAATAGTAAAAACGATAATAACAGAATAATTACGTAACAATAATAACAATAATAATAAATAAACAAATTCTTTAAAGATTACATTAATAAAAGTCAAACTACCCCGAAGACAAGTCAAGCTTCAAACTTTCCGAACACGACCCAAGTCACGTGATCACCCAATCAGGAGTTGATCCTGCTTTCCAAAAGAGGACTTTTTTTTTGTATATACGAAGAGTAACTTCTTCTGTTGGACTTCATAGCATAATATAGGCATGTCATCAGAAAACTTTCATACTTAGAAGCAGGAAAAAAAATGTGTATATTATCATTATTATTATCATTATCATTATTATTAATATTAACATCACCCTCGTCATTTTCATTATCATTATTATTGTTGTTATTAGCATTATCATCATAATTTTCCTTTTATGGCTTATATATCTGTTACTCTTATTCTCTCTCTTTCTCTCTATTCTCTCTCTCTTTTCTTATTTTTCGTCTTCTCAATCTCTCTCTATATATATTTATTTATCTCTCTCTCTCTCTCTTTCTTTTTGTCTCAATCTATCTATCGCTTTCTCCCTCCCCCCTCTCTCTCTCTTCTCTCTCTCTCGTCTTCTAGCTTTTATCCAAATAATATTTCATAGATACTTCACATTTCCATAAAATACATATGAACAATATACCATTACATTTTCAGTTTGAAATTTCTCTTCTTTATTTTCCCTTTTGAAATTAGATTATGTTATTTTCCATATATATTTTTTATTCATTTATGTATTCAGCATTTTTTTCAATCTATTTCAGCTCTTCAAAACTGTTGAAACAAGCACAGGCAGTAACCATGAATAGAAGACACAATAACCCAGATAAAAATGTCAGAGAGAAAGAAAGAAAGAAAGAAAAGAAAAGAAAAAAGATGAAAATTGTTGAAAGAAAAACGGTAAAATTCAACATTAAAAAAACACGGGCTTGAGAAAAGAAGAGAGAAAATAGAATAAAAAAAAAAAAAAACAAAGACAGAACTACAAAGACAGACGCACAGAGCTGGCTGCAGGTGGGAGCAGAGTCTAGTGTAAATGATAACAGATAGATAAGAGAGTGAGAATGAGTGAATGAGAGAGAGAGATAGAGAGATAAATAGATAGATAGAGAGAGACAGATAGATAGAAAAGAGGGGATGAAGGGAACAAAGAAAGCAGCACGACTATAGGGCTGCAGGTGGGAGCGGAGTCTAGTGTAAATGATAACTTTGTAGTCTGTTGTCATCTCCAGCCTTTCCTTTGATCTCGGAATTTATTGATGTTGATGTTGCTACTGTGATGCTCTGCGCTAACCATGGCCGGTAGGTAAGGGGTGCATGATTTAGAAGGAGGGACAAAGAGAGAGAGAGAGAGAAAGAGAGGAAGGGAGGAAGGGAGGGACGATGGGAGAGAGATAGGGAGGGAAGGAGGGAGAGGGAGGGAGGGAAAGGGAGGGGAGAGGGAGGAGGGAGGGAAGGGAGAGAGGGAGGGAGGGAGAAAAGAGAGGAAGGGAGGAGAGAGGGAGGGAGAGGGAGAGGGAGGAGGAGAGAGAGAGTGAGAGAGAGGAGAGAGGAGGGAGGATGGGAGGATGAAGGGATAGGAGGAAGGAAGGAGGAATGGAAGAGTGAGAGACAGAGAGAGATAGACAGACTATTTTCTCTTCCAAGAAAGAGAGAAAACAGATAAGCAAATAACGTATATCTTCATCCATTCAAAGTAGACGAAGAATATGTGGTTTTAGGACTAAGGGAAGGTGAAATACGATGATAATAATAATGACAGTAATAGTGATAGTAATAATAATAATAATAATATGATAATAACAACAATAACAATAACAATGATAATAATAGAAGTAGTAGTAGTAGTAGTAGTAGTAGTAGTAGTAGTAATAATAACAGCAACAATAATAAGTTATATCAACTACAATGAAATAATAATATAATGATAATAAAATAATATAATAGTTAATAATAATGATAATAAAATACAATAATAATAATAACAATAACAATAATAATAAAAAACAATAAAAACAAAATTAATGAATAATAATAATGATGATGATAATGATAGTAATAACAAAAATGATAAAAAAGATAACAAATAAATCATAAATATAATAACAATAAAAAACAAATCGTAAAATGGCAACTGACTGCATTTCGAAAACCCAAAAAAAAAAAAAAAAAAAAAAAAAAAAAAATCGTTCGGTTCCCAAACTCACATATTGCTCGAGATTTATTTGGAAGTTTGGAATGTTCTGTCGAAGTAACTTTTTGATGAAGGACCTGGAAATTTTGAGGGACAAGTAGAGCAAATTAGATCCCGAAAGGCGTCCGGTTAAAAATGGGAAATGCCTGTCCCTAGAATTGGTGGTTGTTTTGTTGTTGTTTTGTTGTTGTTGATGTTTTTTATTGTTTTGTTGTTGTTTTGTTGTTGTTGATGTTTTTTATTGTTTTGTTGTTGATGTTTTGTTGTTGTTAATGGTGTTGATTTTGCTGTTTGCTGTATATTTTATTGTTTTATTTTGTTGTTGTTTTTATTTATCTATTTTTTTGTCTTTTATATTATGGTAGCTTCTAATGTTATTGCTTTTATGAATGTTATTGTTATTTTTGTCTTTTTATTATAGTAGCTTGTTATATTATTGTTTTTATAACTGCTGTTGTTATTGATGTTATTGTAATGTTTTTTGTCGTTGGTTTTGTTATTGTAAATGCTGTTGTTCTTCCTCGTGTTATTTTTCATATTCGCGACGAGAAAGGTATATTGAGGAATTGTTGAAAATCAATCATAATAAAAATGCTGTTGTTCTTCCTCGTGTTATTTTTCATATTCGCGACGAGAAAGGTATATTATAATCGGGAGACAATGAAAAGGAGAAAAGAAATGGACAATAAAAGGGGATAAAATGAGATAACGAAAGGAGAAGACAAAAGAAGAAGAGAAAGAGGGAAACACAAAGAGGCAAAAAGAGAGAAAATTCAACAAGAGACAAAAGGGAATAATGGGAGACAAACATTAGATAAGAATAGGAGACAAAGAGGTAGAAAATAAAAAGGAAATGATAAAAGATCAC